GCCAAGCGCAATAAGCGGCAACATATGCCAAAATGGCAAGGAGTGGCAGACCAACTGCAGCAAGGAGCAATTAAGGGCATTTTGAGAGAACTTTGGGCAAATGGCTAAGAAAATCACATAAACATTAACTTATAAGATGATTTAATGGGTTATCACTTTCGAACAATAGGTGGCGCAGTTACGAAATAGATGTGATGTGGTCAGAGTGAGGTGACAATGACACATGCAAAGTTTGGTGTCAAAATGTGAAGGCATTGCAGAGAAAAAGCCTAAATAGTAATTTTGGCAGCATGCCTAAACTTTGATGCTGTGGTATACGAAAACGGTTTTGTCTATCATTGTGCAATTCATAACTTTTAGTCGGCACGGTCTGGAGATGATACGATTCAATTTTTGTGAAAATCGGACAAACGGTCTAGGAGGAGTTCGAAAAAGAAGGTTTTTCAAAGAAATAAAGATGGCGAACAGGACGTTTGTCTGATTATGGAAAACCTGATATCTATGTTTTCGGCATAACCCAAGGAATCTATTAAGATCAGTTTCATTGCAATAGGCAAATTTATTCAAAAGTTATTAGCGTTCTCAGAAATTAATTATAACTTTTGACCAACAGGTGGCGCTGTCTCAAAATCTTTTGAGTACCTTCAGGGCATGCTGCTTATGGCACACACTGAGTTTCGTAATGTTAGACCAAAGCATTTATTTAGTATAGCATTGTATTTCACAAAACTGTATTGAAGTCAATGGGAATTTCACGTTTTGTTCTATTATAGCGCCACCAAGAGGCTCAGTCCCACAATTTTTTGTGTGTGTCCTCAGAGTGACCCCATACATATGTGTGTCAATTTTGGTGAAAATATCTCAATTCGCTTCCGAGTTATAAACATTTATATGAAAAAACACGTAAAAAATGAATGACACATGACTTTGTTTGAATTTTACTACCCCTTACTATCAATATTTTTGCATTTGGGCATTAGCGTATAGTTAACAAGCTATGATTCCGTGTTTCTGACGATGGTTTCGTCTCGATCGGAACAGCGGTTTTGAAGATATCGCCAAGTGTTTTTTTCGCGCTAAATCGCTACGCTACGCCATCCGTGAGACGAAACCCGACATGTTTGGTATCGTTGGACTCGGCAACGATTCAGGACCTCAAAAATATGACTCCCGTGAAAATAAGTGTACCACACCCAAAGTTATAAGCATTTGAATAAAACAATTCACCACTAGGTGGTGCTGTTTCGAAACTTCTCAGGCTCCTTCAGGGCATCGTACTGACGACCCATACCGAGTTTCGTAACAATTCGTTCATGCGTTCAAAAAATACAGCATTTTAGCACATAATTCAAAATGGCCGACAGCCAAAATGGCCGATCTGGGAAAATTGGATATCGGTCGACTCGGCATGACGCCCTGAATCTAACGAGACCAAGTTTTTGATTTTTGGAGAAACCGTTCAGAAGTTACGAGCAAAAATAGCCATTTTTCATATCTCCGGACCACTAGGTGGCGCTGCGCCGAAACGCTGCATGTAGCCTCAGGTCATGCTTGTGATGACATGTACCAAGTTTGGTCTGAATAGGATGAAGCGTTGCGGAGATACAGCCTCACGTCTGTTTTTGCAAGGTCTACGTAAAATTAGTTTGCGCGTTTTTCGAAAACGGTTATTCGAATCATCTTGAATTCCATAACTTTTTGTCAGCACTGCCTGGAGATGATCCGGTGCGATTTTGGTGAAAATCAGACAAACGGTCTAGGACGAGTTCGCAAAAGTAGGTTTTTTAGAAAATTCAAAATAGCGGCCATTTTTTTATGACGGAAAATGACGTCATAGGGTGCGATCGAATCGCCATGAGCTCAGGAACAAGAGGAAAAAAGAATTTTGTTGATAGGCCTTACGGTTCAAAAGTTATTAGCATAATAAAAGTGAAACTTTGGACAGTTGGTGGCGCTAGAGGGAATGAGTTAGCGACACCAAAATTGGTGTATTTAAAGTTGGGACTGTCCTCTATCAGAATGTCAAACCAAAACAACTTTCCCGCACACCGGTCTATGGGCTGCCATAGACGCCCAGTCGGAAGAAGAATAATAATAATAATAATAATAAGAACCGGCACAGATACAATAGGTGCCTCCGCACCTTCGGTGCTTGGCCCCTAATAAGAACCGGCACAGATACAATAGGTGCCTCCGCACCTTCGGTGCTTGGCCCCTAATAATAATAATAATAATAAGAACCGGCACAGATACAATAGGTGCCTCCGCACCTTCGGTGCTTGGCCCCTAATAAGTAGTGTTGTTGTTGTTTCTTTACAAGAATAAAATACATAGTAATGTGTTGGGACATCAAAGCCAAAAATCACCCTTTCCCCACACTTGATCTGCCAAACCTCCTACCCAAATGCACCAAGAACGAACATAAATTACAAGACCAACTCCCTGCTTAATTAAGTTGTCTTAATAGTACATTTATTTTAACATGATATGTTAATACGTTCCACTTGGCTGCATACGACACCAAGAGACCACAATTCTCTTTTGTTTTGAACATTTAATGAGGGGGAACATTCCTTCTTTACTTGCTAGTGGAACGACGACAGGGAATATGATAAAAATCCAACTGGGAGTCTCCACAGCAGAGATCCCCCTGAAGTTAGCTTTCCGTAGTCGCAATGACTCCTTCTAGACAACAAGCTTCAGAAGAGTTTCCTACAACAAGCTCATACGAGAAAGCTCCGGGATTTGTTCTTCACTACCTCAAGAAATAACGAGGAGGACCTCGGACAAGAACATCTTGATTGTGTCTGTGGAAATACTCTGTATATGTCAAAGTAAATGTTTCATAGCGCATTGTGATTCCAAGACTGCTGACAGTTTCATTCAGTGTTATTTAACAAAGAAAGTCAGTCTCCAATGTTTGCTGCCGTCTTTATCTGCCTCTCCAACGACCTTCACTGCTACAGTAAAACGTGCCTCCACACTCTCCAGTTCTGCATTAAGTTCACACTGCCGACAACTCTCTTTCACCCAACAGCCTCTCAAACTGCTTCCAGGATTTATTGCAAACAGTTGAAGCAAAAAAAGGTTGAAACAAAGACTGCATTTTCCATTTACAGCATGAAAGGGATAGTTCAATGTCATTAATCACTCAGCCTCATGTAGTTTCTAACTAACTTTAAGACCTTTGTTCATCTTTGGAAAACAAATGAAGATATTTTTAATGAAACCTAAGCGATTTCTATCCCTTCATCGACAGCTACAGTATCACTTTGACGCTTCATAAAGAGATCCTAAAACGAATTCATATGAATTGAGTGGTTTAGTCCAAAATTTTCTGAAGAGACTCGATCGCTTTATTACGAACATATTGAATGTAGGGTTTTTATACACATATAACATTGATCAGCAAATACAAACAGAAGCTCAACCGAACCTGTTGATACACAAGAACAAACCTCTTGCTGAAAGCTCAAACTGCTGCGTAACACGAGAATGAACCTCATTGGTTCTTGCTGAAGCTCAAACGTGCTGCATAACACGAGAATGAACCTCATTCGTTCTCGCACGTTAAATGAACATGCTTGAGTTTCCGTTTTCCTGAGTTTTCTGTTACGGATGTGTTCAGTGATGTACATTTTATATGTGAAAAAAAGCCTAAATTCAGTCTGTTCAGCATATAAAGTGATCGTGTCTCTTCGGAAAATTTGGACTAAACCGCTCAATTCATATGGATTAGTTTTACGATCTTACGAACTTTCTGAAGCTTCAAAGTGGTAGTTGCGTAGCTATAAACGGAGGGACAGAAATCGCTGCGATTTTATTTAAACAATCTTCAAGTGTGTTCTGAGGATGAATGAAAGTCTTACGGGTTTGAAGCAATATGATGGTAAATAATTAATAGGGTTGGGAATCGGTATTAACGGTTCCGGTCGGTGCTTAAATGGTTCTTGAAGCAGTACTTAAGAAAATGAAACCACACACACTTTGTCAAAAAATAATACCCCTTTATTTACAGGGCCAAACTGGACATGGCTACAGGTTCCCAGGTTTTTCCTGCTTGAACCAGTCATGTAAGTAATCTGGTCATTGTACTAGTTATGCAGCGCTTAGCATGGCGAGTTTAGTATTTTGTTCCCACAGTGTCTTAGCCACGCAACTTTGGGTAAACCTATGAAAGAGATTGTCTCTGGTTACTGGTGTAACCCATGTTCTCTGAATAGGGAACGAGACGCTGCGTTCGCTTCCAAACTCCTCACGCTGCCGACAAGCTTCCTTTTTCTGCAGAGAAATCTGGGGAGCAGATGATACGCCCACTAATATAATATGATGACATGAGTGTCATGGCGGCGCAAACAATCGTTCTGACGCGTAATTTTAAACGTGAAATGCAGACAATCTTGGAGCGTTTTGTCTTCGGCATCTTCATTAATCCCCTCACTATCAGCAGACGTTCCGGGAGTCTCCCGCATAATGATGACGGCTCCTTGATGCCCGCAAATTAGCAAAAATCTCCCAGAATCTAGAGCGAGCAAGCAAGAACGTGCATGCGAGACAGATCAGACCGTGCTTCAATGAACCGTATAGTCTGCGCACTACGGAGAGGGAGTGAGCGAAAGACTTGCGTTTGGCACCGAAATCAGGCACCTAAATTTTCATTCTTATTCAGTCTGGTTACTACCGTTTACATCAGAACCGGTTCCCTATTGGCACCGAGGTTTGGTGCCCAACCCTAGTAATTAATGACAGAATTTTCTTTTTTTTTTTTTTGGTAACTATCCCTTTAATGACACTTGAAACAATCAATCTTTAGAACATCTGGATTTCAAATGAATCCAAGTGCTGACCAGCCATGATGCTTTCTTTTTTATTCCCCAAATGAGTGAAAAAAGCCACCGAAGGCAATTTTAACTGACAGAACTGACAGAGCATATAACTGTACACTGCTGGGTCAATGTTTTTTTTGTCTATGCATTAATGATAAACATGTTCAGCTGTACCTTCAGCCTTTCAGAAACTCCATCAGTCACACTGATGGTGAACTCCTCCACCTTCGGCACCTTCAGCTTGGCCTTGTTCTTCTGTTCTGTCTGATACTCAGTTCGTGTCTTCACCACCACCTGCGAAGAGAGAGTTAAACCATCAGAACCACTCAATGCAAACAGTAAATTCCCTTAAGATCAAAGTTTGACAACTGCACCACGAAGCCAGTACCTACCAATCAATAATACCCATAATCATGTTAGGCCCCCCTCATGATAAAACTACATGCTGGTTCTTAAATCGCTCCTAATCACTGATCCTATAGACACTTGGAGATAACAATGACTTCGCAATTGGCCTGTTCAAAATCAAAGTCTATTCCCACAACAGCACTCAATCGTGAGTCAAATCAGACTGGGTGGAAAAAACAAACCTGATCTGACTTTAAACCACATATGGTTTGAATATGTGTCTAACTGGGTTGGATTTCAAGTGTTCAAATTTCAAGCGGATTTGACTTGGCTATGCATATTTTTTAATTGCAGTTCTGTGAATTCCTCATTCGTTCTTCCAATTTAAATTCCAACTAATGAATGGAGGCAACCCTGTCTGAGGTGAGATGACAGATGGAGGAATAGCGCTGACCTCCGTTCCTGCCACCTCACTTTCTAGAAACCCAGAAGTTGATAAAGTCGAATGTCCACTGGATGAAGCTCAACCACTTGTCATGAACTCTGCAATTACTGCTTATCGGTCTCCTTCCCAAACCCTCTGACATTTCATTTTCCCCCTGAATAACCATCTTGTCTGCTTCCATTTCTCTCTCCTTCTCCTGATCTATGCGAGGCATTCTGTTATCGCTAGGATTGTTATTCGGTTTTTGCACTCCCCCAGAATGCAACCTCTGCCTCCAGGCAAGATTGTGCATTGTCTTTTTAGCTGCTGATTCAAGCCATCGATAATGTCAACACCAGGGACCACTGCGGATCCGAATGGATTGATCTTTGCCAATATGGGTGCTGTACTGGTATGCTGATATGACAACTTGGAATGAAAAATGCTTTGAATAATGATGAGATGCTGATGACATGCAGCTTGTGATTTTGTGATTTATGCAGTAATGGTTTCGAGATTCTGGATAACAAGAAGTCAAATGTTTCCATACGTAAGTCCCCTTGGGAAATATTTCTTGAAAAAAATATGAAAAGAAAGAAAAAAAGCATCAACTAAATGCGTGGATTACCTTATACTCGAAACATCCTAAATTAAATATATGAAAATTAAATCCATGTTTTTAGTTCCTCACTTATGGTGCCCAAAAACTCACGATTGTATTCATTTAAAGGAGAACTCTGGCGCAAAATGAACCTTTGGTCTAATAAAACATTGGCACCTAGTCAACCGTTCTCTGAGATTTGTTTTCATGATAATCGAATGTAAAGAGTTGTATCTTTAAAAACTGTTTAGCGTATAATGCTAGTACTGGGGGCATTTACTAAGTAAAAAGAAATCGCAAGTTTATACCACTAACAAGGCTCAAAATGGCCCCACACTAACACATAAACATAATGAGGGTCCCTACATGCAAAACGAAGCATTGAGAACTTTGTAAGTGTACAAACCGTTTAATAAGAAGATATTTTATAAAAACAGTTCACTTCATGTATACAGGCAGGAGCCATCTTAGAAAATAGTCTCGATAAGTCGATCGTTCTTACAGTTCAGAAGTTCGCTGAACTTCATACAGTTCAGATCACTCAGCACGACGTTCATGGTTTTTAACAAGGCTCAAAAATACTGTGTTAGTGTCGGGCTATTTTGAGCCTTGTTAGTGGTATAAACTTGCGATTTCTTTTTACTTAGTAAATGCCCCCAGTACTAGCATTATACGCTAAACCGTTTTTAGACATAAAACTCTTTACATTCGATTATCATGAAAACAAATCTCAGAGAACGGTTGACTAGGTACCAATGTTTTATTAGACCAAAGGTTAATTTTGCACCGGAGTTCTCCTTCAATGAATCTACACACCTCATTATAGTAAATAGATGTAATTCTTTAAAGAGTGTGTCCTTAACTTAGCTCATTTAAAATAAATAATGCTAAAACAGCTTTCAAATAATTTGCAGTCATTACTGCCCGATTGCTATCTGCAGACCTCTAGAGAAAGATAATGATTTCCCGCAGGGCTGATCCTTGTCCTGCTTTAAGACTTTAATGTCAGCATGAAAAATTAATGATTTTTACATTGTACAAGTTTATGTGACAGAATGTTGCATCAAGTTTATAGATTACAGCAAATTCGCTTACGATGCTTATAACTTGCTGAACAAATTATTCCACGCCTTTTCCCCCCCATTTTTACCAATCGAGTGATCTTACGATCTCAGCGGTATTATTTTTGTCATTTAATTAACATATTGACTCCATATATAATATATACATATACAGGAGACTATGGTTATTAGTTAATGATCTTCTTTTCGAAAAAAAAAAAAAAATATATATATATATATATATATATATATATATATATATATATATACTGTATATATTATTGGGAGTTGATTAAATGCTTCGTAAAATGTGTAGAAGACAGAATCAGGCATCTTTCCGCCTGAGGCTAAGGGGCGTTATTCGGTTAAATTACCCTTCTCGTTCCTCTTATTTATTAGAAAATTTCATAATTTAAATCTCAATTTTGTTAATTACACATGAATTATATTGAAATATGATCATTGTCCTACAAGGCCCCAAAGCCCACGTATTTGGATATAAACATAGAACATTAAACTTTCAGCAGCCTTTACAAATATGGTGGTTTAGAAAAAAATGATTAAAACTAGGGTTGTCAAACGATTAATCGCGATTAATCGCAACCAAAATAAAAGTTTGTGTTTACATAATATATGTGGGTGCACTGTGTATAATTATTTTATATATATATATATATATATATATATATATATATATATACACCCACATGCATGTATATTTAAGAAAAAAATATTATTTATATATAAAATATTTATATTTAAATATAATATAAATTACATATAAATATTTTAAAGTATATATATGAAATTATTTCTTAAATATATACAAGCATGTGTGTGTATTTATACATATAAAATAATTATAGTATATTATATGTAAACACAAACTTTTATTTTGGATGCGATTAATCGTAATTAATCGTTTGACAGCCCTAATTAAAACCATTATTTGTTTTTTCATATAGTAATTCATTTCAGTGCCTAACATTCCCAACTGTACCTAAAAATGAAGCTTCATCAAAATAATATACTTACAAGAGAAAAATTCATTTTGCATGACATTTTTGTCCACAATAATGATCTACTGTAAATACACAATTTTCGGCCTGTTTTCCAATGCATAGTCTCTCTGACAGCTACTAGCTTCCACAAGGAGAAAAGGAAAGGCTCACCAGGTGGCATAGACATGTTTGTAATCCAACACATCCTCTTCACCTCTAAGCCGGCATTAAACAGACCCGCCATATGACAGCCGAGATAAAAGATAAAATGGCTTTTTCTTTGTAATGTGGGCCAATAAACCACCCAAAGGGGTTAGGGTTGGCATGGGGTGCAATTCCTAAAATATAACAGCCTGTGCTTTTGTGATTGCCTGTGCACAGGTTTTGGGCAGAGTGACAGGACACTTCATTTAGCAGGTGCAAAGGATGATTGTGCCGTCCTCAGCAGAATCCCAAATGAGGGCCGAAGCGCCACTCACAGAAAGTGTCACATCTCGAGCCCTGATGCACACCGGTTGGCAACCCAACCAGAAAAGCAGAGGATTGTACCAGCATGTTTGGAGAAAACAGTGAAACTTTAAATATTGAGTAAAACGCACACACAATCGGGATTTTAAATGATAAAATGTGTTGTACATACTCAAAAGATACAAATTAAACAACAGCATAATAAAAAAAAAATCAGCACATTGGGTCAATACATCATTATTTGTTCTTTGCATTTTGAAATAACATGGATTAGGTGAATGATATGACCGGATGAAAGGCAAGGTCTGATGACCTATAATACCTAAAAAAAAGAAAGAAAATATCCTTACCTTGTCTGGGGCTTGATACTGAAGATTAGTAACATCCAAGGGCGTGATGAGGGGGACGTTTTGAAAGCCGTCCTCAACACTAACAGCTTTCGCTCCTTTGTCTTGTAGATTACTCCCCAGTTTAACCATCTTTAAAGGATTATTGCACTTTCACCAACCTATAAACGCAGAGGATTTTGAAAACACTTGTGAAATACCAATTTAGAACATCCCAGCCTTGGCTCTAAATCGACCACCTTTAATAATAAAACAACAAAAAAAATCTATACACCTCTGGCTTATATATCAAAGCGATTGGTAAACACCTCACGCGTGTCTGTCTGACGGCAGCCCGCACGCCAATGCTTTAAAACACACAAACCTCGCGCTTAAAGAGAAGTAAACGATTGAGCATTGATCTTTGAGATTAAACGGGAAAACACAGCACAGTTTAACAATATTGTCTAAAATCCAGGTGCCGAAACATCAGCCACAGCGCGAATAAAGCCTCCGCGCCCCTTTTATGGCTGGTTTACCAGTCACAACAATTTATCTCGCACCCAAACACACACGCGCCCGATGAAAAGATGTTTTATAAACGCGTACTCACCGAAAGCGGTCGACTTTCACGCTTTTTGGGGGGCTCAAAGACAGTTCAAATACGGGTCGTTGATGAGAGCAGGTGAAGCGTCGAGATGGAGATGCTGTATATGTGTGAGTGTGTGTGTGTGTGTGTGGCGCTGATGCGAGAGATGCAGATACTGACGGCCTCGCGCAGCATCCAAACCCTCGCTTACACTCAAGCCACTAGGGGGGATCTAAAAGAAACCCTACATTTGTTTTGCCCGACCCTTAGAAACCCTGAAGCTCAATGCCGACACACATTAGCTGACTTGTTTGCCATCTAGTGAAAAACCGAGAGAAGTGCAGAAGCATTTTCACTTAGTGTTCAAATAGGCTAATACATTTTGTTTGTCAAAAAGCAGTAAGACCAAGGACACAAACGGTCTTTATAATAATAGCCTAACTAAATAGGCTAAAACTTTGGTACGTTGAATTCTGTCAATTTCTCACCATCATGTCGTTCCAAACCCGTAAGCTTTCGTTCATCTTCAGAACACAAATGAAGATATTTTTTTTTTTAAAGAAATCTGAGAGCTTTCTCCATTGACAGTTCCGCAACTACCACTTTGACGTTTCAAAAAGTTCATAAAGAGATCGTAAAACGAATCCATGTAAATTGAGCGGTTTGGTTCAATTGTCTGAAGAGATTGGATCGTTTTGTAAAATGAATTTAGGCTCAGCGAATATAAACAGAAGCTCAATTGAACCTACAGTAGCCTATTTGACGTGCGAGAACAAACCTCTTGCAAACATGATTGAGCTTGTTTACCACAATTAAAGTGTGTTGACGAATGTTTAGATGTGAACAAAAGCCTGAATGAAATCTTATAAAGAGATCGAGTCTCTTCAGAAAATTTGGACTAAACCGCTCATTTCATTTCATAGATTCGTTTTACGATCTCTTTATGAACTTTTAGAAGCATCAAAGTGGTAGTTGCGTATATAGCTGTCAATGGACCCAGATAGCAGACTGACATTGAATCAACGTGGAAATATGACATCGAAACAACGTTGATCTGACATTGTTTTGCTCATCGAATTAACGTTGAACCAACGTCAGACGCGTCATTCTTTCAAAACTAACGGAAAATCAACTTGAAATCAACGCGTTGTTTCAACGTTATGAAAGCAAACCAATTTTCGATTTCATTTAGCTTTGAAGAATGCCGCGTCTGACGTTGGTTCAACGTTAATTCGATGAGCAAATCAACGTTGTTTCAATGTCATGAGAGACGTCGTTTCCACGTTGATTCAATGTCAGTTTGCTGTCTGGGGAGAAAGCTCTCAGATTTCATCAAAACTATCTTAATGTGTGTTCTGAAGATGAACAAATGCTTACGGGTTTGGAACAACATGACAGTGGGTGAGTAATAACTGAATTTTAATTTTTGGGTGAACTATCCCTTTAAATGTGTTGTTTTTTTGTTTTGTTTTTTTGGCCAATATGCCGCGTTGCTTGGTGGGATTATGAATTTTATTTGACTATTATTTGGCAGATCTTGTTCATTAATTGTTAACTAAATTCAAATCATTGTTATTATTACCATTTCTTTTTTTATTGAATTTTAATTAAATAAATTAATTTATTTAATTTATTATGATAAAAGACACAACTACTCATTAAACAATTACGTGTATTACTTAACAATGATATTTATCATAATAAATTCAAACTAATTTAGTTTATTTGCCTACTGCAAATAGGTCATTTACTGTTGCCGAGCAAAACTGGCACATTAAAGGACAACTCCGGCGCAAAATGAACCTTTAGTCTAATTACACATTGTTACCTAGTCAACCGTTATCTGAGATTTGTTTTCATGATTGCCGAATGTAAATAGTTTTATCTCTAAAAACAGTTTAGCCTATAACGCTAGTATAATGCTTGTATATAGGGCATAGAGTAATGACAAATAAAAATCGCTTGTTATTACCACTAAAAAGGCTCAAAATAGCCCCACACTAACACGACAGCATAAAAAGAGTCCCTACATTCAAACCGAAGCATTGAGAACTTTGTCAGTGTCCATACAGTTTAATAAGCAGATATTTTATACACACAGTAAATTTTGCGAATTCAGGAAGAAGCCATCTTGGAAAAATAGTCTCTACCAGTCGATCTACGAACGCCGATCCAAGTGCGCTGGTGAGATGTGAATAAGGTGATAAGGTGAGCGTGAACAGTAGTCTACGTGTACATATTGAAGACAAGTAAACGGTTTGTGTTTGTGTTTCTTCTGGAAACAACGGATCATATGAGATTCTGCACAGTTCAGCGCACTTGGATCGGCGTTCGTAGATCGACTGGTAGAGACTATTTTTCAAAGATGGCTTCTTCCTGTATTCGCGAAATTTACTGTGTTTATAAAATATCTTCTTATTAAACTGTGTGGACACTGACAAAGTTCTCAACGCTTCGGTTTGAATGTAGGGACCCTTGTTATGCTGTCGTTTTGGTGTGGGGCTATTTTGAGCCTTGTTAGTGGTAATAACAAGCGATTTTTATTTGTCATTACTCTATGCCCTATATACTAGCATTGTACTAGCGTTATAGGCTAAACTGTTTTTAGAGATAAAACTATTTACATTCGGCAATCATGAAAACAAATCTCAGATAACGGTTGACTAGGTAGCAATGTGTAATTAGACCAAAGGTTCATTTTGCGCCGGAGTTGTCCTTTAATAGGCTACAGAATTGAACTGATATGCAGACACAGGTGGGCATATAATCATCTATTCAGATTTTAGAGACAGAACCAATTGTCTTGTACCAATTAGAAAATACCAAATCAAATGAATAAATGAATAAACCACACATGACAGATTGTTTCCATTCCTCTAAATTAGCCTATTATTATTCTCCTGTAAACCTTTTAAACTTAAACCGAGACTTATAAGTTCTCCTGCCACATCCGGAGGGTGTTCGTTGTACGATTACATTATTCCACCCCTGTGGAAGTGGTTAAACCTCGAGTTACAGCTCATCCCAAGCTCCTATAGATCATCAGAAACTATGGTTACCATGGTACATTTTGAAAGGGTGATTTTTTCAAGGATATTTGAAGGAGCATCCTAAAATGATTACTGTTGATGAAGATAGATTCATTGTGAAAATTAAGTGGAATCATGAGAGACTATCGCATATTATTTCAACTGAAATGATCCTATTGTGTAATTGGATGATTTTAAGTCACGTCTTTGATGTTTGCTTCAATTGCAGGATGAAACGGTTGCCAAGCAACACCAGAGAGGAACCATGGTGACACTGATGAGGGGAAGTGTAACAAATATGTCCCCCGTGGCCCCTCATTAGTGGATGACCATGTGTCTATATCACTCACAATATTAACAGTGTTAATAGACACCGGTTTATAACACTTGGAGCACATCTATGATTCATTTCAAAATATAAAGAGTTGCATTCTGAACCTATGGGGAACCACCATTTAGATATGGTGTAAACAAGTGAGTAACATTATCTCTGATATCCATCTATGGAGTCAATTTCCCAATGGATCCATAAATATGCCCATTGGCACGTATTTGGCAAGGACACACCATAAAACTCATAGAAATTTAGCTAATAATTGACAAGACGTGCAAGGAAGTGGAAATATGTTTTGTTGTCCCCATCAGTTTTTGGTTATCTGAGATTAACAACTGTTTACCTTTATAAAAATAACATACTGGTTAAGAAATAAAAGTCAAGTGTTTTATAAAATTTGGCAACCCTTTTTTAGTGACATGAGGAAGATACAGAGCCGTAACGAGATGGTAGGAAAGATTATTGGTCAAAACCTTTGCATTCTCTCTCAAAAACTTTGCGTGTTTTGTGTAAACGTTTTGTGCAAAACTTTTGCGACAGACTGCAAAAGTATATTATTGTTATTATTATATTTTAGAAAATATTTTTTCCGAAAAAGTCCACACCACAACTATAACGCTAATGGCACAGAGAAACAATATCATTGGAATCACTTTCAGAATGATTTTATTGAGCTGAACGATAAAAACATTGACAGCCAATCAGAATCCATCCTGCTGTAAGCTTCAGCTTGAGGCCTTTTCAATCCAAGAACGATAACTATAAATAAAACTATAACGATAACGCTCCAGTAACTAACATAACCTCCCAGAGATACAGTACAGGAATTAGCATTGTGTCAGTCTCTGACACTATGGGGAAACTCCGTTTTCTCCAAATACTGAATCCTGATTGGTTCACGTCTGTGCACTTGCCAGAAGGGGTGGGGCCGACTACCTAAAAAAAAAAAAAAAAAAGCGCCGGAGGAGGCGCGGCAAACGGGGAGGCTTCGCTGTTCATCAAAGAGCTGTATCGGCTTGGGAGAATAGTGCAAGGTGCCAATTCTACTCGTTGGGAGGCCAGGTCCATGGACACTTTGCAGGATGGCGTTTTCCCGAGGCTCAGCTCCAGCAGCCACGCGCGATTATCCCTGTTATTATTTCCACGCGTCATCAGAGGACGAAACATCGTCTCCATCGTGGCGGATCTAATCTCCGCGACCTTCGACCACTGTGCCGAGCAACGCAAGCGGTAAGTGACTCATCTGTACTGAAGATGGCCCTTGTCAACACACGGTCGCTGATAAACAAAACTTTCATTTTAAACGACCTTTTTACTGCACAAGCTCTGGACTTCCTTTGTGTCACTGAGACATGGATTAAACCTGGCGAATCAAGCTCGCTTGCTGAACTTTTACCACAGGATTGTAACTTTTTAAATACCCCGCGCTCATCTGGCCGCGGGGGGCGCTTGCGACTGTCTTCAAAAACACTTTTCCGTGCCGATCCTTATACACAGACTCATATAACAGCTTTGAGGTGCAACTCTTTCAAATACTACTAGCTAACCCTGTCACTGTTGCTTTGTTATATCGTCCTCCTAAACATAATTCAGAATTTATTAATGAATTTGCTGCATTTCTGGGAGATATTGTTATTGCTCATGATAAAATACTGATTGGTGATTTTAATATTCATGTCTGTTGTACAACTTTAACTTTGTCCAGGGAGTTTTTAAATCTTATTGAGTCTTTTGACCTTGTTCAGTGGGTAACTGGCCCTACGCATCAACAAGGTCATACTTTGGACTTGATTTTAACCAATGGACTATCTGTTTCAGATATCACTATTAGCAATGCCAATTTTTCTGATCATATGCCTGTACTTTTCTCTGTTCCATATTCTGGTCAAACTCTAAACAATCAATCCATGGGGCGTATGTCTCGTAACTTTACAACACGTTCCAGTGAGGAGTTCAAGGTAGCATTTGGCGAGGTATGGAACTCTTCGGAAACAGAATCTACTCTACATAACTTGGATGCGGACGAACATCTCAGTTATTTTAACTCTACTTGTGCTTCCATCTTGAACAGTATTGCTCCATTAAAGCTTAAATTTCGTAAATCAGTACCAATTCCTTGGCTTAATGAATCAGTGCGCTTTCTCAGACAGGCCTGCCGACAGGCCGAGCGCAAGTGGAAAAAGGACAAATTACAGGTCTCTTATGAAATTATGAGAGATTCACTTTTTACGTTTCAGAGGGCAGCCAAAGCTGCTAAGTGTAAATATCTCTCTGATCTGATTAAGAAAAATAGGCATAACTCTCGTGTCCTCTTCTCCACTATTGACTCTGTTCTAAATCCACCTGTTACTTTTTTCCCTGAGCCTTCTGTCTCGCTTTGTGAAAGTTTTGGAAACTTCTTCACAAACAAGGTTTTGGATATTAGATCTCAAATGGCTCAGACTGGATACACACTGTTAGAGATTCCGTTATACTCCTCCACATGGTCTGAGTTTGAGCCACTCAACTTGCACTCCTAAGAAAATTGTGGACTGCCTTAAGCCCACTTCATGTCCACATGATATTGTTCCTTCACATTTCATCAAACAAACTATGGATGCAATTGGTCCAGGTCTATTATCAGTCATTAATAAATGCTTATGGGCACTGTTCCAGTCTGCCTTAAACATGCTGTGATAACACCATATATCAAAAAACCTAATCTTGAACCTTCATCTCTTTCCAGTTTTCGACCCAAATCTTCCTTTTATATCAAAGATTATGGAGAAAGTTGTATTGGCTCAATTACAATCTTTCATGTTGAATAATTCTATCAATGAAGTTTTTCAATCAGGTTTTAAAGCACTACATAGCACTGAATCTGCTCTTTTAAGAGTCTTAAATGATATTTATCTCACCACTGATTCAGGAAAACAAATGGCTTTGGTCCTGCTAGACCTAAGTGCTGCTTTTGATTTAGTCGACCACAACATTCTTCTGTCACGCCTGGAGTCTTGTGTAGGACTTCGCGGTTCTGTTTTACAGTGGTTTCACTCTTACCTGTCAGATAGATGTTTTACTGTTCACTTGGGACATTACTCATCCACTAAAAAGCACCTTGGTTGTGGTGTTCCTCAGGGTTCAATCCTTGGGCCTGTGTTGTTTTCTTTGTATCTGCTCCCTGTGGCTGCTATTTTTAAAAAACATGGTGTTTCTTTTCATCTATATGCCGATGATACACAGCTCTACCTGCCCTTGCAACGTAACAACAAATATACTCTTCAGCCGCTGCTAGATTGTCTAAATGAACTGAAGTCATGGCTTTCAAGTAATTTCTTAAACTTAAATGAAAATAAATCTGAGTTTATTATTTTCGGCCCCAAAGAAAACTGTGTTTTCGATTTTGACCAGGGTTGTCTCTCCCCTTATAACACAAAGTGTGCCAGAAATTTGGGCTTCCTTTTTGACTCCAGTTTAAACTTTGATAAACAGATCTCCTCGGTTGTCAAATCATGTTTTTATCAACTACGCCTTCTCAGTAAAGTGAAGCCCGTCTTATCCAGGAGAAATTTGGAAACAGCTGTTCATGCATTTATTACATCGAGGTTTGATTACTGTAATTCTCTGTATTATGGTATTTCTCAGGCTTCCATCTCGCGTCTACAGTTGGTCCAAAATGCTGCCGCTAGACTACTTGAAGGGAAGCGAAAGTTTGACCACATAATACCTATCTTAATGTCTTTGCACTGGCTCCCAGTAAAGTATAGGATTGAGTTTAAAATTGTATTATTTGTCTATAAAACTCAGAATAACTTGGCTCCTCAATATTTAACTGATCTTCTGACTCCGTACACTCCTTCAAGAAATCTGAGATCCTCTGACCTTGGCCATCTTACAGTCCCTAAAGTTAAACTCAAAAAACGTGGTGAGCGTGCTTTTGCTGCTGCTGGGCCGAAGCTGTGGAATAGCCTTCCTCCTGCAATTAGGCAAGCTCCATCTATCTGTACTTTTAAATCTCAACTCAAGACTCATCTATTCACCCTGGCTTTTAACACCCTGTAATCTGTCTTCCTGTTTTTTCTGTTTTTCTTTTTATTATTATTATTATTATTATTATTATTATTTTTTGTGCCTTCTTGTCTCATTTGGTTTTAAGTTTGTATTGCAGTTTAAATCTGTGTCTCTTTTATTCCTTGTAAAGCACTTTGGTCAACCTCGGTTGTGTTTTAAATGTGCTTATAAATAAATTATTGAAATGATTGATATTTAAGGCATATGTGCGGTAGCACAGCAACTCGTTCCCGTATATCGTGGAACCCAGGTTACAGTAGCTTTCTATTTCAATGCTGTTCACTTCACACTGCATCAGTCTCTGACGCATATGAGGAAAGCACTGCAAAATGCCATGCTACTAGTGCCGAATGGAGGCCGTCCTGTGAAGCCTCAGCAGAGAGTGAGATAACTTGTGCCTTAAAGGCCGTGGGTTTAAGGACCACTTTGCTGTCGTTAGGCCGGCTAAACCCAAGGCAGAAATGTCCAATGAGAGTGTCTGCAGGTCACCAATTCGCTTGTCCGATGCCAGAGCCACCAGGAGAGCGGTCTTTAGCGAGAGGGAGGCGGAAAGGTCGGCTGTCATAAGTGGCTCAAATGGAGTGTACTCAGGACAAAAGTCCCAGAAAAGGACCGTGTTGGGACAAGGTGGGTTTAGCCTCCTGGCCCCTCTTAGAAATCTGAACATCAAGTCATGTTTTCCAATCGACTGGCCTGTTATAGTGGCGTTGTAAGCCATGATAGCTGCTGTGTATACTTTGAGCATGCATCCGCTGTCCAACAGCTCCAGAAGAAAAGAGAGAATGGAAGCGGGACTCTATAAGTCGAGTTGCGCACCAGCCAAATATTGCCGAGGGGCCATAGTTGGAGGCTCGACAACACAGGTTGGAGATGCCAGATGGACACTTTCCCTTGGGAAAAAAAGAGGTCCCTTCTCAGAGGGTTTAGCCGAGGTGTTGCATATAACAACTGGACCATTTCCTGGCTGGTTCTGCAAGAGTGATGCCACGAGTAAGACTGAGCATCTGTCCTCCCTGATTCAGCTTATGACCTGAGGGAGGCGCAGAGGGGGCCACCTGTGGGTCAATGCCTCCTTTCTCCTAAGAAAAGAATATCGGGCTGTGGGTGTTCTCATCTGACGTGGAGATACTCACTTAAATGCACAGAATCATTTGGACCATTAGGGGGTGGAGTCTCCATTTGCCTCCATCATCTCAACAGAATGTGGTCCAGAAATCCCAAGTCGAGGATGGGCCTCAGGTTGCCATCCTTCTTGGGGGCGAGGAAGTAGCGGCTGTAAACGCCTGACTCCCTGTGGGCTACGGGGACTTTTTCTGACGTGCCCTTTGCTAGCAGAATTTGTATTTCAACTCACAGGACATTAAAGTTGGTCCTCCGAGACTAAAGTGTAAGTCACACCCTTGACGTGGGGGGTCTAAGAACAAATTGGAGTAACCCTTTTTTGTCTTCTCTAAAACCCAATTCGACATTCCCGAAATTTGCCCGAAGCCTGTATTTGGGCAGTGAGGGGTTGAAGAGCAGCAGTGAAGGTGTTTGTGAAGGCCAGCTTTACAGTCCATAGAGTAGGATTGCGACGACCTGCTCTTCTGTTTTGCCTGCCGCCAACAACAGTGAAGCAGAACAGTGAATGGTAGCCACATAGGGGATCATGAACACATTGGTTAGGTTTCTGGCAGGGGGGCTTGCTAATGGCGCCTCAGCTGCTGGAACCATTCATCGACGCTGCTAAGGGTGGGCATTTCCAGTGCCGAGTCTGCCGACCACACAAAACCGGGTTTATGACAAGTTCAGGCCAGGCCTTAACATTGCCTGGCTCCTTAGATGATAGGGGGTGGAGTCCTGCATGGAGTCTGATCACACTTCTGTATTTAAAGCTGTCAATGTCATTGGCACATATTCCCCTTTGACACCCTTAAAACAGACCAACACGCTTGTACCAGATAAAGGCTTGGTCTTCACGGGGTGGAAAGCAATGGGGTATCCCCTTGCAGCAGGGAGAGTGAGGCACACGGGTATGTTGAACAATGTCACTTAGTCCCATCCACTCAGTCCTGCGACTCCATTGTTTCATCCTCTCAGGCTTCTGAGAGAGAAAGAACAGTGGAGAATGAGGGACGGAGGCGCTTTCTTTAGAGAAAGTGAGAGTGAAAGCATCTGTCTTTGATGAGAGCGGCGTGTGGCATTTTGAAACAAGTGTTGGCAAAAATATGCTCTTTTAGATTGAAAAAAAAAACATGATAGTCGTAGGGGAGAAGCACCATTCTCAGCTGTCGAGTTGTCAGCGCCATTCTCATTCTCGCAGTGCAAGCAGCTGGTCTCAGTGAGTGCAATCACGGCGGGGCGCGTCCCAGGCAAGCGGTGCACTCTGTGAGCTCGTCCGAGCTAAATCTCACCAAATGGCCGTTTTGTTAGACTTAAATAGGCCCTTTCTGGTGGGCTGAAAGGCCATTTATCTGTGTGAGTTCACCGATGTGAACCAATCAGGCTTCAGTATTGTGAGAAAACTGAGTTTAGCAATACAGAGACTGAGGCAATCCCAAGTGAATCGTATTGAAAGGGAACTATATTAGCGTCCACACCAGTGTTCACTATCGTTCTGTTTATTCTAAACTGCTACAGTTTTGTTGTATTTTGCTTTAATTGCTCAAGCTCTTTAAATAATCATGGATTCCAATTGGATAATGATTTATCATTCATCAGCTGGAAAGAAAAAAAAACGTTCTGAAAGTGATTCCAACGATAATCGACAACGGTTTCTCTGTGCTGTAATCGTTGTAGTTGTGGTGTGGACTCTGCTATTCTTTTATATTTAGAAAGATTTTTAGATCTGTATCTTTATGTTATCTTTATAGTTATTGTTCTTGGTGTGAACGGGCCTTAAACCTCACTCCCCTGGCCTTAAGAGGCGTGCTAGAGGCTGCGGTCTTCAGCATCCTCGTCCTCCTCTCTCATCCACGCCTGAGAAACCGGTACGAATCCTGCTCGGAGCGGATCAAGTAGAACTGGGTACACAAACAAAGTTTCTCGGAGGAACGCAAAAGTTTCTCAAGAGAGCTCAAAAGTATTGCCAAATAATTTTTCCTCCCATCTCATTTTTTTTCTTCACCATGTCTCTTTAGGGGCTCTGTATACTTTATTATTTCTTCCTATTGACAATTTTGTTTTGTTTTTTTATTTTTTTCATTTTTTATTTTTATCTATCTATCTATCTATCTATCTATCTATCTATCTATCTATCTATCTATCTATCTATCTATCTATCTATCTATCTATCTATCTATCTATCTATCTATCTATATTTTAATTCTATCTTCTAGCATGCGTCTAGGTTTATTTTCTTGGGTTATCTACTTTTAATCTAGTTGGTTTTTGCCATTATTTGTGCTAACCTTGTCATCTGACCTGAGAGGTACTGAAATATATTGTGCCACAAGATGGCGACATAATGTAAATCAGTACCATTTTAGTA